GTTAGCCTATGGAAAAAATGCTTAAGTGGTTTTAGTAGCACAGCTTTTGAACTCTCTTTTTTTTTTTTTTTTATTACCATGTGTTGGACTAAGTGGTACAATCAAGACCATCCCAGTGGATGTGGTGACTGGGGCCATCTGAGTGCCCTGAGAAAAGAAAAACATGGTGGAGACCTTTGTGCTGATCCTGTGTTTGTTGACGCTATTACTGTTGAAGAAGAGATTCCAGCTCTCAAGACAGGACAAAAATTACATTAGTAAGTTATCTTAAAAAAAATATATTCAGTTCTTACAAAGTACAATTTTCATGACATTAGCACAAAGTACAATTTTCATGACATTAGCACTAGGATGCAACTTAAAATAACCTAAGATTTTTTAAAATTGTCTTTAGTAAAATCTTAAATATACCTATAAAATAAGAACTAATGTATTCAATCTTAATTTGGCTTTTAGAATGAGCTTCCTAAGTATGTAATATTTAAATGTGCATTTAATTCTTAAATAAGCAGACTAAATTTCACTACAAATCATTCAGCAAGTTTTCCATTTCTAATCAAACGTACACTTACCCATTTTTGTTATCAGCCCTGGAAAAGGGTTTGTCTGCCGCAATAAGGACCAGAGATTTGACAAGTGCAGGAATTACAAAGTTCGCTTTGGATGCAGCTGTAGCTCCATTGTCTGAGTCTACTCCTACAAATGATCAGAGCGAAGAAACTGAAGTTTTACTTCAATTTCTTTGCCACTGATTTATCCTTTTAAGTCACACCCAATGAGATATATACACAAATGAAGTATCTTTTTTGCAGGTGCTGCTTCTTTGTCACAGATATCTCTTCTACTGCAAGTAGATGAGATATCAATCAGTGAGGAAGGAAATTATAGCTTTGTCTGTCTTTAACAAATGTATTAATTTATTTATTATTTCCTTTTTTCCTTAATTCCTTGTGGGGAATTAATCAAAAACAATAAATAATTCAAAGCATACATGCTTTTGTTGGTTTCATCTTTCTGCTCTATTCAAATAAAACCTTATTAGATGATTTGGTCAGAGAAAAGTATGATCCTAAAGGATTTACATAATTCAGTTGTTCTAAATTTTTTCTCAAGGTTTAGTTTTGTTAGTTTATTTTAAAAATGTATGGAGGTTGCTATATCGCTCAAAAATGAGCTAATGAGCATGTGATTTTCACTGACTTTCCCTGGAAATCTCTTGCAAAGTGATTAGAGATGACCTCCGATAAACCCAGATAATTTAACATTCATAGCTTGTCTATAGTAAGTCTCATAGTCGAAAATGCTAATCAGAGCTCAGACCAAAATGGAAGTCAAATGAACGTTTTGTGGATTTCAAAGACAGGATGGGTCAAAGCAGAAACCAGGGGAGAAATATGAAAAAATGTCAATGTCAATGGAAATGCCTAGATTACATGTGCCAAACTCACAGTCTGTGAACCAAATCCAGCCCACATAACAGATCTACCTTATGTGAATACAACTTGAAGATAACAGTTGGGTGATTATATATTTGTAAGGTCCAATCAGATTTTATTTGTATGGTACCAAATTAAGTCATTGTCAGAATATGTTTAAAAGTATTCAATTTTAAGACGTATTTAATATGGATTTTCATCAATAAATTCTGCTATACTGATTCCGCTATATGTTGACACCTTTGCCCTAGACCTTTACTAGGACTTAATAATCTGTCTTGTTAGAAAAGAAAGGACTCGGTCAGAGAAATGACCAGAGATCAATTGTTCCCTTGTGGAGCAAGGAGAACTATCAAGGTCAGCCATTTCTAATGCATTCCACCCCATCATTCATGATACAGTATAGGTCAACCATGGCATCCCACTGAATTTAAACAATATGCTGTTTGGGATTGTCAAAACAGGTGAAACAAAACTTTTACCCTTCTACAAGTTTTGGCCTAAACTGGCAGCATAATCACAGGCACTCATTACCTCACTAACTCTACTGTGAACCATGGGGACTCCATCATTTTACACTTTTCTTTGGCAGAAACCACGCTGGAGGTGAAATGACAACAGCTAAATAGAGAAATTCCTTATCAACCTGAGAGCTCAACGCGCCTATTGATCCACCAACATTAAAGTTCAGCTCAATTCAAATAAAAAAAGAGCTTTGTTTATGCCAAAGGAAATTTTTCATATTGTCGTAACTCACACCATTCGATAACCTTCAGAGAGTTATTGTGAAGGAGGCAGAGACAGAAATTGTTCATAGGGGTGGCCAGGTTGCGACGGTTGATCCAAAGTGGCTCTAATCAGTGCCAGAGCCACTTTGGAGCACAAAATCCATGCTTTCAAAATAACTCACAAAAGACCAAGAATGTTTACTTGAAGGCCTTGTTATATTAACAAATATAGGAGTGTACTGATATTATCAGTGCTGCCACCACCTGTTTTGGAGGGGAACTACATGTTTCAAAGGTTTGCTGTCCTGGCGCTTTATCACCCTAAGGGGACAACCAATCTCTTGACAGGGGTTGGTGCAGGTATAACTGTTGCCAAACACATACCCTGTCAATGGACATGTTCTACTGAATTGTTAACCAAGTCAAACAAAGGCCAAAGTATTTCATGAAAATATATGCATGCACAAGGAGAATAACTTGTCTCATTATTTTTACCAATCTTACATTTATTTCCAGTTTTATCTTGTATCTATCTGTAATTTGATTGTTATGAAGCACTTTGGTCAGCTGAGGTTGTTATAAATGTGCTGTATAAATAAACTTTGACTTTGAAAATTACCTCTACTATTCTTGAATATCTTTGGAAATTCTTTTATTTTATTCTTGTATTTGATTACGTTTGCGTAATCAAATACAAATGTGAATGCACTCAGAATGGACTAAAAGCATCTTTTTGCAGACCTTCTTTGGATATAATCTGGGACACACTTAGTTTCATTAGTTTTGCCAGCTGAACACTATCCCTCCTGGGACACTCTGAAATGCCACAAGCAGATTTGACACGGCTCTCATCAACCAGAAGAGTTATTATTGGACATTTCCCTATTAATAGAAATGAGTATTACTGCTAAAATCAGACCAATTTAAATAAAATGAAGCAACTATCAGTGTCAGTATTCTTAAGGTAGGACTTTTTATTTTATTTTACACAGGAGATGGAAGATTTTCTTCACATTTGTCCATGCCAAAATACTTTTGTGATATTGTAAAACATCATAAGTTCTTGCTCTCATGCTGCATATGCCAGACCATTAAGACTTTTTTTGAGCTAAGTATTCTCCACTTAAATGTGGCACAGATGAATCTAATTTAATTAGCACACATAACTTGATTTGTTACAGATATTTGATTATTAAGGACAGGCAAGGAAAATTTGCAAAAGTGAAACAAGCAGGTAAGACTGCAAATAAATATATAAATAAATGTTTCTTGCATATATGAACAATATTGCAACAGGTTTAAAAGGACTGGTATAAATGATGCTTGTCAGTCATGATGTAGATTTCTACTCAAACTCAGCCAAATGCAACTTGGTGTTAGTAATTTAGACTTGGAGGCTCAAGGGTGGCTAAATTACTATCTTGAACTACAGATTGCCCCAACCCCACAATTCTTTTGTCTGCAGAAGAGTCATCTGTTGACCCAGAGCAGAAAATTGAACAGTCCATACATATTATTGTGACTATTGCAAACAACCCTGCTTAACTGGAAAGGGAGAAACAAGCTCTCAGTATAAGAATCATATTTTCCCGTGGCATGTCGAACTAGTGGGATTTTCCATTCATCTTTGTTATCTACATATAAAGAGAAATTACAAAGATAAAACACAACAACACTTTAAAACATATTGGACCCTATTTGTCTGGAACACCAAGAATTCTATAAATATATTTTCGTATTTGATGGAATGATATAAAAGAGATAAAGAGGAAATAAAAGACAACCAATACTTTTTCAAAATGCTTAGTTGGGTTCTTAATGTACTGTATTGGCCAGCAAGGTCCTGATCATGGCATCATAAATATGCACATATGATTAATTTTAAAAATTGTACAATGATGAAGAATTTTTTGTGTTTGATTTAGTCATTCTTTCATTGTAGTTAATTTATTGCAACGTATTGTTTAGTGATCAAACTGCTCAGGTCAGTGGTATCTTTCAGCTCTTAAGGGCCAATGTCCTGCATGTCCCCTCCAGATTTGAGTGACATGATAAGGAGGTATTCCAGCTATTTGAATCAGCATTTCTTAGAGCAGTGACATATCTTCAACATGCAGGCACTGGCCCTTCAGCTCTGAAGTTGACTTTTGGTAACTGTTGCTTACCGACACTTGACCTTTCTGGTAAATTGAGCCTCTCTAACCTGCTTGTACACCGTGTGGGATAAAAGATGCACGCTTTCTTCTGGCACCACCATTCATCCTTTTTGAAACATCCCACAAGCAAAATGGAAGTGACCAATAAACCGTGTTAGACCTGCAAATCCATTTTCCAGGCTTTGTGTTGTTTTTATTCACTGGAATGCAAAAATTTGGCTAAGTGATCCAGTTGCATATTTTTAGTCGTTAGATGGAGTCATGGGCGGAGTGTGGATGATATAAAAATGTGGAGAGCACAACAGCTGCATCCTTCTGTTTGAAAGTCCTGAGGTAGGGCTTGTGCTTGTCGAGTAAAGTATTTGAGACATTACTTTGCAATTATTAAAATTTTTTATGAAAGCCTTTTGATTTTTCTTCAACAGTCAAAAGAAGTCTCATCTGCTGCCATGATAAAAGTGGTAATTTGTAACTTCTTAGGCTGCAATTTTAAATATTTAATGCAAAAATATGCACATTCAAATTTGTTATTTTATTTTGTTCTAGATTAGTCTTTCAGTTCTGGCTGTAGTGATCTGTGGTAAGTTCATTCCTCTAATGAACATTCTGTTTTGTCAGGTTGACTAATTGGAGACCATGGCATAATTTTGATTCTTTTTTTTTTTCATAGGATCATGGGCTCAAGAAGCTGAACAGAGTGAGGCTCTTCTACTTAAGTTGAAGTTAGTCGATGTGAATGACCTTGCATTATATACTATAATATACAGTTAATCCCAAAGGTACTCATATCTGTAGCAGATTAAGGCTTAAAAACATTCACATGAAAAATTTTCACTTCGCATCAAAGAAGTCAAAGCCCTTTTTTAATTGCTGAAAAGCTTTTTTGCTTGCTTCCACTGGTATCTTTAGACATTCACATATTGAGATGTACTCCATGTCTTTGAAGTTGGAGGGCCCCCCTTGCCCTTCCTCCTAATCTTTAGCTCCCTGCACAAATTCTTTATCATATTCAAGTCTGACAGGAGCACGCTGCAATTATTTCTTACAGTCAGAAGAAACATGTGGATAAAATTAAAAGATATCTAGAAACCAAAACCTGCCAGGAATAATAATGATTCTGAGCTGTACTGTAGTTTCACACAGTGAACTACTGGTAAAATGATTACTTGTGAATTTCTGTCACATTTGAAATGTCTTTTCACTGTGATTTGTAAGTTGGTATGTTTTTTTTTTTAAGTTAAATTATTCTGTAGCATTTTTTTCTTAAATATACTAAACTTCTAATTTGTCAATCTCTTTCAAGAGAAGAACACTTAATAATAGGAGGAGGTTTTGTGTGAAATAACAGTTTTGTTCCTTCGTTTTTGTGCCTTAGACCTCACGTTTCCATTTTTAACAAGTGAGTTCCTAATTTCTAACCATTTTGAAATCTAAAACACATTTGGTATTTATAGTTCAATTTAACTCATGCATAGACAGCACCTCTACATATTTAGATTACTTTTGTTTTGTTTGAACCTCAAATACATTTTTATTATGCTAATTAAATGCTTTTCTTTTTTATTCTTTTGCCTTATGAAAATCATGTCAGATGAACCAGATTAGACTTTTGTTGTTTGACTTTTTTTTGGGTTTTTTAAAAACAAGATAAATATATTGTTAATTTTTTTCATTCAGATTGACGACTACATTTATTTTGAAATAATATTTTCTGTTGCTAAAATACTTTTTATTTTCCTGCTTCTGTCTTATAGTCAGTGGTCCAATTGTATCAAGTCAGATTTTAATTTGAGCTCTTTTTCACATTGAGACATATTTAGTGGATTATTTATTTTAGTCATAAAGACTGACACTCTCTGCTTTCTTTTTAAAATTTCTTTAGGATTGCCGTGCCATCATCCCACCAACCATCGTAAGAAGAGCCCACTTTTGTTTTCTTAGAAGAACTATCAGTTTCACCTGGACTTGTAGTTTAGAGATTTTGACACATTTATAAGCTACAAATCCATCTGCAAAGTTAATTTAATGTTTTTATTTGTTCAGAGTGCTGGACTCAATGGTTTGAGACTGGTAATCCCTCAAGAAATTAAGATGTGGAAAATTTTATCAAACTTCTCCAAAGGTATCCTGGAAAAATCTGTCCGGACCCATTAGACATTGAAGCTGGAACACTGTCTGGTCTAACTCCAGAAGAAGCAGGAGACAAAATTGCAATGTAAGTTTCACTTTTTTTTTTTCATGGAAGGGAATTGAATTGTAGTAGCCCTTAGTAGTTAATCCTTGCTTAAGTAATGAACTTTGTCATTTATTTTTTTCTATTTTTGTGACACACGTCCTGAACAAATCAACTATAAAACAAACAATTCTGTTAGAGAAAGCATCACATCAAATGAAAGCAGCATAATCTGCTTTCCTAAGTTCATTTGCACACATTTAAATTAGAATTAGTTAAACCACCTTTTGATTCTGCTTCATTAATCTAATATAATTACTGAAACTTATTGTTACAGCTTCAAAACATTTCCCATGTGTGGAAGCTAGCCACATGTTTTGCTCAAAAGTGGCTTTGGCCCATTATTCCACACAAATCCTGAGGGCATTGTGGTACAATACCCTCAGCTTTTCTTTAAACTCTGAACTTTAGCTCTTTCCATCAATTTTTATTGGATTCAGTTCTCTGACTCTGAAATTCATTTTGTTTCCTTGTGCTTAGATTGATTGTCTTGGTTTAAAAAAAGAGACCTTTACTTCAAGTTCTCCTCTGGAATGTCGTGGGTAAATTTCTCCATTAATTCTTACGTCATATAAACTTACTAATTTCAAGTCAATTTGGAGACACAAGCTGTATCTTGGAAAATTCTTTCATTTAAATTGATAGTTAATTTAGGATGTAATGCTATCCTTTCCTCTTCTGCTTTACGGCCTGAACTGAAACATTCAAAAATGTAGAAGTATGTCTGTAAATCAATCCCAACAGGATTTTCAACAATAAGGTTGCAAAGCTCTTGAGATGAGAGAGTTGTTTTCTTCTATCTGTTCTTGTGTGAAACATTGGTAATTAGGAATCTTCTCACCAGCAGATTCTCCAAAAGCAGCAGACATTAACTTGCACTGATAGGGGGTTGCTTTCAAAGTGCTGACAAACTTTTTGTGATTTTCTTGGCTTTATATTTTCTTTTGCTCTTTTTTGTATTCATGTCTCAAATATTTATTTCTTGTGTCATTCCATTTCATTACAAATAATCTATGAGCTAATTTGTGTTGGGTTTTCTGTTTGTCTTAATCACTTGTGAGTTTTTAATCAATGCTATTGATTAAAAACTATGATATTATGATAAATTTAAATTTATTTCCTCACATATTATGCTAACTATAAATATATTCACACAGAGTTTTCTATGTGTAGGCACTACATATGTAAAAATATATTAATAGAGGCCTTTAGGGAAAACATTTCTGAGCTACTCTTTTAATGAGAGTGAGCTAAAAAGGTAAAGAGTTTCTGAATGTGTATAAAGGCAGTTGAAGGTATAGGTCGCTGCAATTGAAGGCTGTACTAAATGAAGAGGTAACAAAGTCAAATATGTGAAGCTGTGCGAGCTGTTTATACTCTTGAGTCCTTTTACAATTCAACTTTCAGATTCTCCCCAGGTAATGTGCACTGATCTGCAACATGAGCTTGTTTGAAATAAAATCATTCTTTACTCAGAAAAGTGTGTGTGTCTGAGAGTTTTTGCACAGAGGCATTAGTAAAGGCAACAAATCTCAGCAAATGCACTCTTTGCATGCTCCATACTTACTGTTCCTGCTGTACATTGCAACATTTGTATGTGTCTTTCATACGTCTTTTCCTCTGTTGCATTACTAACATAATTTATTTTTCTTCCCTCTCAACTTTTCCTGCCAGCATTTGCCTCTGTGAATCGTCTCCATTTTGTCCTATTCTCTGTGTCCACTAAACTTACTCCAACTAACTTCACATAATCTTTCACCAAATCCACAAATCTCCTTTTCGGTCTTCCTCTCATCCTCCTGACCTGTGGTTCCAAACTCAGGATCCCTCTACAGATATAATCATTGTCTCTCCTCTGAACATGCTTGAACCATTTCAGCCTGGCCTCTCTAACTTTATCCCCAAAACATCTAACATGAAATGTCTCTCTGATGTAATTATTCCTGATCCTTCATCACTCCCAAAGAGAAACACAACATGTTGACCTCTGCAAGCTCCATTCTTGCCTCTAAACCATAAAACATTGCTGCTCTCACCACTGCCTTGTAGACCTTTCATTTGCACTAATTAGTGATGTTTCTACACTAACGGTTAAGTTTCTTTTATAAGTGTCTTTTTTTTTTGTACAGAAGTGACACAAAGAGATGATTCACCTGCAGAAAGAGAGACCAACCTGACAGGGAGTGTGAGGATTATAAGGTTCGCTTCAGCTGCCCTCTTCCTTACTGTGGTGTCATAGGTAACAAAAAGTAAATGTTATGGTGTTAAGAAAAATATACTTTTTTTTTTATTCTTTCACAAAAATTCGAATTAAAATAGGGTGTGCATTTTTAATTTCTTTGTCCACTGCAGTGTGCTGGACTAACTGGTATGATAGAGATGACCCTTCTGTAACCAGTGACTGGGAGAGTCTGGAGAATCTGCAAAGCAAAAACCCTGGAGAAATTTGCAAAGAGCCTGTGTACATTGAGACCATTACCACCGACACTTTGACCCCGGCTGTCTACTCACGGGAAAAATTCTTTGTGTAAGTTTCCTTTGAAAATAAGCATCCACACAGAAAATCCTCCTTCCACAATCACCAACAGGAACATTGCATTCCCTATAAGAACATTATAGGGGATGCAGCCTTTTTTGTTTGTATTTTGCATGATCCAAAGAATAAATTAAGTACCACAAGCAAAACACAACCCATTAAAGACAGTAGACATGAAAATAACTATGACTAGTTAATTTTGACTGAATTCTCTGAAAAATGCTATTCATGAACAATTGTGTGCATATTTAAAATGTCAACAGTACAAAAGTTGGCAAAGCTAGAATCTAACACTCCTGTACCTATTAAGTTTTTATCCTTTGTAGGTTTAAGAGAAACTTTGGAACCAGTTTATGATGTTACTAGCTAAACCTTAAATAGATCCCCTAGCGCAGCTAACACTGTAGATAGATCCCTGGACTATCTCTGGTACATCAAGAGCACACGAGACATACGAGTTTTAAGTTATTTTTACAGTGTTTAGTGAGCTTCCTTCAGGTTCTTCTCTCTTCTACCCACAGTTAAAAAACATAACTGCTAATAAATCATGTCATGTTAAAATTGGTCTTTATATAGAAACTTTTAATGATTACTTTTCAAAATTGGACAAACGTTTTCAAGTACTGACATGGGTTTTTCAGAACATTCCTATCTTGACAAAAAGCATTGTTGGCTCTATTTTTAAGCAATCTTGTGCCATCCTCACTTTCTCTGAACTGTTTTTTTTTCCAGCTGCAGTCCAAAGAATGGTTATTTTTGTGGTCAAACAGACCAAAAGCCTAGCACCTGCAGGGACTACAAAGTTCGGTTTGGATGTCTTTGCTGAAACCGAGCCACGTCTCTACCTAAATGAGTAAGTCAAAAGAAGGGAAACAGAAATTACAAGAAAGAAAACATGTCTGTTTGTATCTAAGAAGAACTGACTTTTTGTTGATGAGTAATTTTGAACTGAAGCAGAAGATTTTCCAGTTCTCTCTGACGAAAGAAAATGTGAAAAAAGGCCCTTATCTCCTATGTTGTCTTTTCCCAAGCTATTTGTGGTCTAACAGTGTGGGAATATAGTCTAATTGTAAATAAAATACAAAAGCAAACCCCAGTTTGTGTGCAGTTTTCTGTAGTTCACTTACAACAGGAGATGCACCAAAAGATCAATAAGGACAATTTTAAAAAATTATCTTTAACCCTGGTAAGTGATTGTCTGGTGATAACTAAAAAATTGTCTCATAAGAGACGGCACTGTGAGACAAGACTTCTGTGGAATTTGGAGGAAACATGAAAAGTGAAATCTAGAAGGGAAAATGTATTGCTTCCATTTGCATCCATTTAACAGCTACATTTCCATCTATTTGTGAGCACGTGAGGCAGCATGGCAAGCGATGAAACATGCTCCTTCAACCCATCTGTATGTGGTTGCCAGAAAATTGCACTCACTTTCAGTTTAGTGGCTAAACTTCTAAGTTGGGGGTGGTAACTCTTCTTCAGCTCAAATGCGGTGACAGCCAGCATGGGATTTGGCCTAATAGAAAAAAAAAAAAAAGAATGTGGTATTAATTCAAAGCACAGAGGAAGAAGATAGCAGATGGCGGAGAACGAAGAAGATATGGAAAAAGAAAGTTAGTTTATTTTTCTTACATCTTTTTCTGCTTTGCTCTCCTCCGCCTCTCGCTCTTCTTCTACTGTTTGGCCAAGTCCATCGCTGGCTGTTACCCGATTTCATCTGAAAATCTGGCCAGTCAGGTCAATCAGAAGAGCGATCGCCCCCAACTGACAAATACACCCACTAACAGAAAGTGAGTGTAATTATGACGCAAGAACATACAAGTGGGTGGAGGGAGAGTGTTTTACCACTTGCTCTGCAAATAAATAGAAATTCAGCCACAATTAGAGCTATGTACTCTGTTGATTAATGCATGAGCTGTTATGATTGATTAATACGCTTTTTGGGTTTAGCAGGAGCGTGACACTGTACAGAAAACTTTCTGTTACTATTGTCTGCTCCCAACTTGGAAAACTTCTGATAAAATCTGGAGTCCAGTATTGTAATACATACTTTAACAGAAAACCTTTAAAACTGAGCAGTCACTGTTCAATCTTAAATAAGGAGGGAGATGACAGTCGATAATAGAACAGTGAATATTACAATAAAATTCATTCAAAATAACATATTGTGCATGTATACATTTATACATACACATTTATACACAATATACTTGTGTGTATATTCTTCAGTCTAATGATCAAAGGTGACTTCATTCTCACAGTGAACAAGTAATTTTTAAAAGATATGTGTAAATTTCTGCAGAAAGAATTCTGCTAGAATTTCTTCAGCATACTGACCCTAATAAGCACATCTAGAGTATGAGCAGCATAATTAAAGTTGTCTTTTCTTCCCCAGTTAAATTTATTTCCATTTAGGGCATAATATAGTTTGGTTTCAGAGTAGGGCCAGTGTAATAATAACCTTCCTCTCTGCTCTCCAGCTTAAATAACACCGCTGCTATGGTTCGAGTAAAATTGCTCCTGGCATGAGGCTATACTCACATATGAGCTTGCAAACCCAGAATGCACTCACACAGTCTCACACAAGTGCACATAAACAGCGAGGAGGGCTGGGAAATGCAAGATGATTCCTGCTACCTGAGCGGCTTCAACATTTCCTCGGGAGATGAGTTGTAGTGATAGGTGCCGAGCAGAAACTCTGCGCCGCATTGCACAGAATGTGAAATGAGCAGAGACAACTTTTTCCTGCTTTCTGCTCTTGGAAAAGCGTGTGTTCTTTGGGTAGCTTGCCAGACTTGCATTGCATCAACTGTTCTGCATTTGGTGCCATTTAGATTTCAGTATCCGTGCCCGTCTTTCAGCAAGGCTTTTGCAGAAGAAAGGAAGAGACGGTGAAGGGGGAGGTAGAGTGGGTGCAATCTGCCGATCGCCCACACCCCACCTCCCTTCACCTCAACCAACCTATATCTACGCTGTTACGATAAAATTGAAGAGGCAGATTCTGCCAGTGTGTGGTGAAATAAAATGAAATACACAAAACTGAAGAGCAACAGAAGTGTCGAAGCCTCAGAGTATGATGGCATTCTATTCACTTCCATTAATCTCCCAATATTCCATGTCTCTGAAGACCTATTTATAGACCAGAACATGATTAAGTGGTTAAGCACTGTGCCACAAAGGGAACCAAGCTCATTTTCTCTTTTACTTCCTCTCTCGTTTTCTTTTACTCTACCTACATCTCCTTCTCTCTCCCTATTCCTCCATCACTTCAAACACTCTTTTGTATTCTCCATTTTCTCTTTATCCCCTCGTATTCGTAAGCATAAACTACTTTTTTTTTCACGTCCAAGCTTGCTTATTAGCTGTCAGTGAAAGTCTGTCTCAGAGGGTAGGGATAAGTCCTTAAATTCAATTTTTTCCCCATTAGACAGCTAGACAAAGGGATTAGCAGAAGTGCTAATTGTGATGAGGATATACAGCATGAATGACAACCTTGACTTAGGAAGATGAAGCTTCCTTCCACCAAGTTTTCATCACTCCATCAAGCTGGATCAAGACTGAAAGGTGCCCAATGAGTTGGGTACAGAGTCGGAGAATATCCGCACGGGGAAACCTGCGTGCAAGGTGTCCTTGAGTGGAAGTAGAGCACAGCACAGGGATAAATTGTTAAGCTTATTTTAATGTGCAGAGACATGATTAATGGAGGAGTGGAGTGAAGAGGAGAAAAAGGGAGAGAAAAGAGAAATGACCTCAGCCAGCTCAAGATCGTCCTCTTTAATTTTTTTTTTTTTTCTATTCACACCACTGAGGGCATGCATGAGATCAGGTCTCTTCTTTAAGATTCCAGACCTAGGCTCTACCAGCTGATCCACCTTTTTTTTTTTCTTTTTCGTTAGTCTGTTTTTGTTCTTTCTCTTTTTTGGTTGAGGCTTACATAGCAGCATATTTCTGCAGAGTGGATTTGATGCAGGGCTTAATGTAAATACAGAGGACTTCCATAACAAGTATTTGTCTATTTAAAGTACTAAAAGGATTTGTGTGAGAAACAGGAAAAACATGCTCAAAATGAGAATAAACTGATTTTCTTAGACAGACAGGTCAGGGATAAGGTTGTAGAGAAACTTAAAGCAGCAATAGCCCTAGTTTTGAACATTTCAAAGATCAGTGAAATGATCTTTGAAATGTTCTAAAGATGAGAAGAGTAAAGGGCAACTGCAGGCATCAAGACAAAGGACAATACTTCAGAGGCTGCAAAACAACTGAAATTTGGCTGAAGTTTCATCTTCCAGCAGGACTGATCCTCACAAATACAAATTCACTGTAAACTTTTCATATCTGGAATAGCAAATTGAAAACCCCTTCTACCATTTCCTTCCATTTGCATAATTTTGCATGGCTCCATATGTTTTAATCCATAGCTATTTGCAACCACATAACTACTGCACTATTTAAACATTCCTTTTTATCAGTCCAACACATTTTGGTGCAACTCTTGGCAGCTGGTAAAAACCTTCTCTGCTGCAGCAGCCAGTACATGTTCCTTGAGCTATTTTTAATAAATCCCTAACCTGGTATTTTTGATCATTCTTAAATCCATGCGTCAAACATGCTTTTAATCGAAAGACACAAATTTAGCTTTTTTATGACGTTGTAAATTTGATTCACGGTGGATTATGTGCAAAACGAATGCTTTTCCTTCCATCATTGAGCAATGGAAAACCAACTTTAAATCCCTCTTACCAGAGCGATAAGAGCCTAAAAAGCTATTAGAGCATGACTCCTGAGAGATGAACAAGACAAAAGATGTGATGCCTTTACGTTTATGGAAGGTGGGAAGACTACCAGGCTATTTTCACTCCAACGCTTTATATTAGTTGTGCCAGCTTCTGCCTTTCAGCTGCTCCTGTTCTGTACCTCTTGGGCACATTTTGTTTCTTGTCACACTAGCTGATCCCTCGATTAAAAACATTGAATGCTGAGAGGGTGTTATCCTTGTTCTGAGTTTTTGATCCTCGATGTCTGGGGTGGCTGCTGGGCCCAGTCATCCCTTGCTGAAACAGTTGATCCCTGAATCTTTGTGGAAATGATTGCGCAACTGGAATGGGTTCTTAAACATGCCAAGTAGGTGTACCTTTCCTAAAACCTCGTGGAGAAAAACAATTTCAGATCCAGGTATCAAATGACTGCAAGGCACTGTTTAACCAGTGTTCCCCACCGACTACTAGAAACACAGCAGTCTCAATTGAATTTAGCAGTTTATAAATGTTGCCTCAGTTCACAACAAATGTCAAACATGTCAAATTTAAATCTATAAACTCCAAGTTAGCCAAGAATCAGCTCACATATGGTCAATGCAGAAATTCAATGCAATATAAATAATTGCTTTGCTTGGAATAAATAGAAACCAAATCAATCAAAATGATTTGAAGCCAGTCGGACAGACAGGATGTACACAGCATATACTGGCAATCTGTATGAAGTTTTCTTTTCAAGCAAGGCCACCACTGAAATGGCAGCAAGCAAGTGGAGAATGTGGAGAGTAACCACTCAATTTTAACAAGAAAAAAACTCCAGGCAGGTTCGATGTGGGAAACTTTCTGCCACAACTAGTTGGGTTGTCTTTTCTTCAAAAAAGCAAAACAAACAAAAAACAAATGAGCCAATAATAAGCATCAGGAGATTTTATCAATAAAGCTGAAGACAAATGTATTTGTTCTCCATTCACATTGTCCATATCAATAACTCCAATTACACTGCCTTAAGAAGAAAGTTTATTTGAGGCATTTTTGCAACAAAATGAAAAGCCCAGCGAGTTTCTCTGTTATTCTCCAGTTTGTTTCTCTGCAGGAAAGCCTTTGGCACTCACCACTCCAATGGGGAAAGTCACTTTTT